CGACTCGATGGCACCTGACGACAACAACAAATTGGTTTCTTAAAATATTTTCTTCCTTATTGCTGATTCACCTTATGCACCTAAAATATTCCTTACATTTATTTAGTTTCTTCTTATATTTATTTTTAAAACTAACTAGGTAAATGTATTTAAAGTAATAGAGTAGGTTAAGTATTTTAATTGGGTTTAGATTAATAGACTGAGTTGAGTATTTTAACTGAGTTTAGATTAATAGACTAAAGTGAGTATTTTAACTGGGTTGTTAAGTGCTGTAAAGTTGTTCTGTCTATGTAGGGTTTCCAGAGGTTTGGACTGAAGACCTATTGGTTAGGAGAGATGTGTGAAAAACTGTGAGGGAGATCTTTATCTGTGAAGATTAACTGGTTTTTAAAACTATTTTAATCCTTCTTGCTGGTTCATCTTGTAAACTTAAAGTTATCCTTATATGTATTTTAAAAAACTAACTAAAAGCAATTTTTGATAAAGGAAACAAGTGTAAATTGCTACAATTTGATGAACTTGACCTATACTTATGGATGTAGTAGCTCAAAATACCAACTGAGAGGGAAGGAGTCTTCACATTAAGTATCAATCCTATCCTCTCTCTATATAGGATTGATAGGGATGGACAGGTTAAACATTGGCTACCTAAAGTGGGGGGAGGGGGCCTATAAAGAAGTCATGGTGTTGCACTGTGGGTTAATGCGCCAGACTGCAAAGTCATTTGAACTGCAAGGTTGGTGGTTCAAACTCACCATCTGCTCCTTGGAAACCATATACAGGGTCGCTATGGGTTGGAACCTACTCGACAGCACTTAACAACAACAAACATAAAGTCACAAAGTGACTGGCTAACAAGTTTTCAGGAGGAAGTTTAGCTTCAGAGTGTGAGGGGGAAGGCAGAATCCCCATTGAATAGTTTTCATCTTGTCTAGATGGGTCTAGTCAAAGGAGATGAGGATAAGATTCTTATGATTCAATAGTGAGTAATTGTTATCATGACTATTTGAAATGGTCACAACTGTAAAGGTAGAAGTTTTGTAACAAAAGTGGGAAGTAGTTCTTACAGTCCAGGAACAGAGGACCCTAGGACCATTAAGGGAGAAAAGCATGAGCGTAGTGCAGTACCCTATCCAGAGAAGCAGCGACAACAGAGATGTAGGCAGAGATGAGGACATGGAGAGAGGGAGCAGCTGAGGACTCTAGACTCATAGAAAGAGAAAGGCTGTGTGCTGGTGGCAGGAGGCTGGCTTACAGGATGCATCTT